TCAGTTTTTCATATGTTTATTTCTATATCTTGAAATGTTGAAAATTATACTATTTTGTCTATTATTTTGGGTTCTTTGTAAAGACAAATAATTTTTTGTTTAATTTTGCATTTAAAATGCAGATGACCTGCTGATGAAATACAGTAAAGAATCCAGAAAACTGCTTTTGGACAACAGCAAATAAGTGGAGAAAGGAGAGTTTATTCAATTCTAGCATGTTTATCAAGAAAAATTGTTTTAATGGGACAAATTCCATATTCATATTAAAGTAAATCCCATTTCATATCTAAAAATAAGAAAAAACAGATAATAGACTAAAGGAAAAACACTAAACTACAAACTTTCTAGAGAGAGCAAAGGATATAATCTTATGGTTTTGAGCTTGAAAAATCTTCTCAGAAAAAAAAAATGTGAATTACATTGAAAGTCTTCAAAGGAGACTGGAAAAAGCTGTACAAGTTTGCATTCCACCAGCAATGGATGACTATTCCCCTTACTCCACATCCTTACCAGCATGGGCTGTCACTTGTTCTAGTGATCTTGCCATTCAGAGGGGTGTAGCAGGAATTGCTAAATGGTCTTATTAATCAAAAAATTCGAAATCAGATATTGGGGTGAAAACTGGAAGATCAGAGGATTAGAATAAGCCACAGCCACAAGTTCATACTGCTAGGAAATCCTCAGCTCAAGAGAGAGCTACTTCCTGTATACTCATGCCTGTATACATTTGTGTGCCCTGCCATCTTTCTTCCTCATTCCACCCAGCTACATCACTTTCCTCTTTCCACCTAACTCGATTACTTCCTGTCTGGATGAACAGACCTCCAGACCTCTATGGTTAACTAGTGCTGGGATTAAAATTGTGTGCCACCACATCTGGCTCTGTTCCCAGTGTGGCCTTGAACTCACAGAGATTCAGATGAAACTCTGCCTCCCGAATGCTAGGATTAAAGGCCTGTGCTATACCACTGCCTGACCTCTAAGTTTAATACAATGGCTGGCTTTTTCCTTTGATCCCCAGGCAAGCTTTATTTGTTAGAACACAAATAAAATATCACCACAGAGGGGTTTAAGATGAAATTTCAAAATAGATTTGATTTGCAATTCCCTGATAGCTAACGATGTTGAACACTTCTTTAAGTGTTTCTCAGCCTTTTGATTTTTCTCTTTTGAGAATTATCTGTTTAGATATCTCTTTGTAGACCAGGATGGCCTCGAACCCACAGAGATCTTCCTGGCTTTGGCTCTTGAGTGCTAGGATTAAAGGCCCATCCCAACATGCCAGTTTGTACCTCATTTTTATTTGAGTTGTTTGTTTTATTGATTATCTAGTTTTTTGAGTACCTTAATATTTTGGATATTATGCTTCTATCATATGTGCAACTGGTAAAAATCTTTTCCCATTCTGTACACTACTTCTTGTCTCAAGGATGGAATCCTTTGCCATGTAGAAGCTTTCCAGTTTCATAAGGTCCCATTTATTAATTGTTGATCTTAGGGCCTGTACTAACACTGTTCTATTCAGAAGGACTTTCTTACTTGGACTTTATACATTTAGGAATTAAGATCAACAATTGACTAATGGGACCTCATAAAGCTTCAAGTTTGTGTACAAAAAAGAAAAATCAGTAGAGAGAAGGCACAGCCCACAGAGTGGGAGAGAATCTTGATAGGTCCTAAACTCAGGAACTCAACAATGATGAGATTCTGTGTACTCCATCCTATGTGTTCCACAGAGCACAAATATACCATTGTCAAACAGTTCACCCATGAGTTAAATAAATTAAATACAGCATTTTATAATGATGTTCTTTTAAAAAGAAATTTTTATTACTTTTACACTAGAGAAATTAAATTCATGTTATTTTCATAGAAAAAGAGAACAATAAGAAATTTTGAAAATGAAAATGCATAATCACAAATCAGAAAATAAAACTTTTAATGCTTGGATGTACTACTAAAGCCGTTGTTTATTCCCAAATGCTTGGTGTCTCTACTTTAAAAGCTCCACTGTTAAAAGTAGTGAATTGACCTTGTGGGTCGCCATCTTTTTCTTCATCTTTTGGCCTTGAATGCACAATGGGTGTTCTTTTTTTTCCCAACTCTGGTGACCTTGAAAGAGACAGTGAGAAGTACTATAAGACTCTAGCAATTAGAAATTTCATCCAATGACTGAAGGAAGCAGGTGCAGAAATCCACGGCCAGGCCCCAGGTGGAGCTCCAGGAGTCCAATGGGCAAGAAAGAGGAGGGATTATGTGAGGGAGAATTGTTGAGACCAAGATTGGAAAAAGCACAGGGACAAATAGCCAAACTAGTAGAAACACATGAACTAAGAACCAATAGCTGAGGAGCCCCCAACTGGATCAGGCCCTCTGGATAAGTGAGACAGTTGATTAGCTTGAACTGTTTGGGAGCCTTCCAGGCAGTGGGACCAGGACCTGTCCTCAGTGCATGAGCTGGCTGTTTGGAACCTGGGACTTATGCAGGGATACTTTGCTCAGCCTGGGAGGAGAGGACTGGACCTTCCTGGACTGAATCTACCAGGTTGAGCTGAATCCCCAGGGGAGTCTTTGCCCTGGAGCAGATGTTAAAGGGGGGTGGGTAGGAGGGAAGGGGGGCAGGGGAATCCGTGGCTGATATGTAAAATTAAATTAAATTATAAAATAAAAAAAAGAAATCCAAACTGCTGGGGAAAAAAAAAGAAAAAAAAGACTCTAGCAATTGAGTGAAAACACTGTTTATATTTCTCCAGTCACCCACCTTTGCCTATTGCCCTCAAGGGCCTTATATGACCTTCTGCCCTCTCAAAGACTGTTGATCTTCTCTGCTTCATCTTCTTCATTGTATTGCCTTATTTTGAGCTACCCCTTTCTAACTATGTGTTCTGTGAAGAAATGGCTTTTCACACTCAACATGAATTTATTTTGGGGCAGAGAATTATAGCAAAAAAGAAAAAGTAAAAACTACAAAATTACATGAAATTCTGATTTTCCTCAGTACTACTGCTCTGGGTTATCAGATATAGTTGAAACTCATGGATTCTTTAAATGGAACAACTAATGCGTATATCCCTGTTTGAAAATGTAGCAGCAATTACATTTTGACTGTTGTATCTGGAGCATACCTTCTGTTTAAACCATCTCTAAGGTTTTAATAGGGTTATTACAAGAGAGTCCCATGATCCTTTCCTCTTTAAATTTTCTATATCTGTGTGTCATCTATCTTTCATTTTATCTTGACTTCTCCATTTGTTTGTCTTAATTTTTTAGTACTTTTTACCACTGGCTGTCCATTCACTGTCCTGTGATCCATAACTGCCATCACTGATCTGCATACTCATCTTGTCTAAGAATCTGCATTCAGTGCCAGGTAGCATAGGTAGAATTCAGTTCCACCACTTACTATCTTTGTCAGTGACTATTTCTGATCATCTACAAAATGGAAATTATTATTATCTCTCTTTTGCTGTTTAAAGTCCCAGCTCATAGTAAGTATTTGGCAGGTGTTCTCTATTAGTATAAATGTGAATTTACTAAAGGGGGTTCAACATCAACATCAATCTGAACATCCGTCCACCCCTTAGGTGGTGTTCTTTGTTCTCAGTGTTAGTAGCAGCACCATTTATCTTGTTTCTTAACGATAATCACTGAATCACATTTGGAAGTGCTTTGAACCCATTTTCTCTCTTACCACCATTACCAAGCTGACTGTAAAACACTGAAGGTCTTTCTTCTTAAACATTACTCATCTCCACTACTCAAAGCCCCATTTATCTTTTTCCCTGCTTAGTACTATTATGAAATAGCTTCTGTTTTGTCTTGATAAAACAGCTGCCTAGTTTTTAAAATCATGCTCCATAGCCTTTGCATGTTTTAGTGGCACAAGTCTATGGTGATATTCAAACTGCCAAAGATTTCATAAGCAACTTACAAAGCTCCTCAATATTTAATGCAAATACTTAATATGAAAGTGTATAATAGCACATAGTTGTGTCTAACTAATATTTCTGCCTCCAAGTCAAGTTTCTGTGCAACACAAATTTTCAAGACAAAATACTTTTTACTACTGTGTCAAAGTGATCAAGCATTCATCCTCATAAACCTTTCCGTATTTACCTTATCTACCATGAATGGTCCTTATTTCTGACAATGCTACATTTATCTGACCATTTAAACAGCCATTTGGTCTCCTGTTCTCAGAGTTGTCTCATCTTGCATATGTAGTAGAATTAATACTGTTGATCCCCACTTTGGTGCGGTGTGTTTTTATGTCATTTCTATTTCTTAGATCTCTCTCTCTCTCTCTCTCTCTCTCTCTCTCTCTCTCTCTCTCTCTCTCTCGTCTTCACCCAGGTAAGAAAATAGTACCAATTCATTTCTTATGATGTGCTAAACACTGTGATAACTCATAAATATATAGGCATTTCTTCCTTAAAATCCAGATTAAGAGTTCAACTTTCTCCAGAATTAGCCAACTCTTAATGGTTGAGGCTGGCATTCAAATCATATCTGACTTATTAACAACCCTTGCTCTTGATAAATATTAAATGTATATCCATGTCATTCTAACTTCTTCATCCATCTTGCTATTTAGCATATATACAATATTCTTTGGATTATTTCTTCAATATCCATCTTTGTTTTTATTTATTTTTTTATTTTGATTATTTTTATTTTTTTTTTGTTTTTTTTCGAGACAGGGTTTCTCTGTGTAGCTTTGCGCCTTTCCTGGATCTTGCTCTGTAGACCAGACTGGCCTCGAACTCACAAAGATCTGCCTGCCTCTGCTTCCCGAGTGCTGGGATTAAAGGCGTGTGCCACCACTGCCCGGCCTTCAATATCCATCTTTAAAAATCTTCCCTATAGTAATGAGTCTAAGGGCATCATCTCCATTCTCTCCTCCAGAGATAGAATTATCTCTGCAATACACTGAAAAGTTCAAGTTCAGAATCCTAAAGAAAGCATCAATTTCCACTTTGACAACTCCATTCCCAGTCTACTTCCTACCTTAATGAAACTGTGATCACCACACACCAACTTCAGTTGCTTGTCAATTGTTTTCAGTTGGAAGCAGAAGAGTCGAAATTTATCTCCTTCCTTACAGATGATGTTGTACCATTTTCCATGCCCTACAACTTCTATGCTATTTGCATAATCATCCTGTATTTCATAGATTGTGGTCTTTGGGTTCACTTTTTTCTGCAAAAGTAAAATTAACATTCATTTTCATTTCAATTCATACTGTATTGAGTTTCTCTCAAGCTATTGCTCTTTAACTTTTCAGTTGTGTTCATAAGCATAGTCTCTAAGGAGTGTACTATAAAGTATGGGTTTAAACTAAAGGGTCTTTTTAGAAGAGGATGGACTAAACACACTTAAAGTTGACAAGTTTGTAAAACATTTGTTGAGTTTCCCAAGGTTGTCTGTTTAAAGTACTGAATCCCAATACTCTGATTTGGGCCATTGATGCATAAATGAGATGTCTGTGTATATTTTCTTCTGTAAATGAGAAAACTAAGTTCACTTGCCTCCCAAATATCACTTGATACAATAGTTCTCAATTGCTATGGTCTTCAGAAATAGTTAATTAAGATACAAGAGTCAACATTGAATGATTAAATCTACTATCTATAAAGATAGAAGATTCATTTTATTTAATAGAAGGATGCCAGCCAATCATGTATGACTCCACTACCTGTCACAATCAATAATCACCCTGATTCAGTCAATCTGTTAAAACAAAAGTGTATAGAAAGAAAAGAATGAATATTGTATAGTTGAAGTGGAGCTTAAAATAACTGAGACTGTTGGCATGGCAATGAACTATGTCCTTCACCATTCCTGCTCACTGTGGCTGAGGGTAGGTATTTTGTAACTAGTAAAATAAAGACCCTTGGTAATTCATTTTCAGGGAACTCTTTAAGAGATATCTTAGGAAGTAGGTTGTTAATAGGTCACCCACTCTTATTCCTTAGTATATGGAGTGATTTCATCTGTTATCCCCAGCCATGGTAAAGACATCTGTTACAATATTGTTATTATAGTGACTGAAAAGTTATCGTATTTGAGTTCAGGTGTTGGTGGAGAAAAAGACAAAAACAAATTTTCAGGCATTACCTTCTGTAATGTAAACAACCCATAAACCACGGCTCCAGGGCCATACTTGTGAAAATCAGAAAACTTGGGAGGTTTATTTGCTTCTCTGATAAGACTGTTGGAGACTTCAATCTTCTGGTCAGGACCAGCTTCAAACACAGAGGAAGCCTCATTTATCTCTAGGATTCCTTTGAACTTGAGGTAATTGGAGATTATTATGACATTCTCCTTTTTGAACTTCTCTTTCAGGTTGATGTTGAAAACTTTCACATGGAAATACTCATTCACAGTGGCCACTGTGGCATGAAACATTTTTTTTACTTCGTGTTCTGATGACTCATATTCAAATGGGTCTATTGCATTGAGCACCATCACTGTCATGGCATCCTTTTGGAGAACAGCACCTCTGGTAATGCTCTGAGTTTGGGTCTGTGTTTTTTTTGGTTGAACAAGCACAAGGATATAAATATATAAATATATAAGTTTATCATTAAATACAAATTAAACTTTGCATAAGATAAATCACAATCTCTCCATTTAGTCTCTCCATACAGTTTTTATGTATTTGTAGAAGTGTGGATAAACAAAAGAATAATTCTTTCATTGGCCAAAAGGCTAATTAATGAAAGCAATGGGCTTCAGCCACAGAAATCTGAACACTCACTGAAATTCAGAGGAATATTTCTAACATGAAGCAAGATGTTCAGCATGAACACAGTACAAGATTTGAGAGCAATTTTATGAAGTACTTAAGTGAAATTATAATTAATTCTAATATATCCTTTAGTCTTATGGCTGAAGATTATAAAATGGGAAAGTTAAATATTGTTGAAAATACAGAATGGTAAATATAAATCATAAAGATGACATAGGACTTTAGTTACCACAGAACTATCTGGGGTTATTCTGAAAGTACACATTGCAGTATATCTCCTAAGGAGAAACCAGTCTTCTATAATTAAATGATCAAAACCAACATGAGCTGGCCCACAGCCACCTCTTTTTAATAGGCTAACGTAGTGGTACTTTGGTTGGACCTATGTCCTTAAACATGGATAGTTTTCCTCAAGAGCAAGGATTTGTAAATCCAGAGAAATATTATCAGGCATCTAATCTGTTTACTGCATAGTGTTCTGAGTTCAGTGGGTTTTAACAGAGTATTTCACTGAAGAAAAAATTGCCTTACTATAAAACAGAGTATGCAAAACAATGAAAATCTATGAACTTCACAGAAAAATAGGAGATAGTGTTATTGCTTCACAAGCCCAAGGGAATGAAAATAATCCAAGCTATCATGTCATGAACAATCATTACCTATGACTGATTAGATTTCACTTGGATCTGGTTTTTTTCACCAGTGTAACCAATTTTCATTCATAACATGAAAATGAAAAAGGAATATAATTAGTGGTAGTGATGGGTATATAAGTAAACAAGTAGCAATGACTAGATTTAAATTATCAATAAAATTATAGGATGTGAATAAAATAAATTAGTGGGATTTAGAAGGCCACCAAATGATTCTTAATGCACAAATTTCAAGGATAATCACTGAAAGTGATACTGAGCTTGTAGTAGTAGATAAGCAATCTAAAGTGAATTATTTAAAAAAGGAACAGAAACACTGATGTAACCATTGAATATTATATGAATTTTAACTTAGAGACTTGGAAAGATAGCCCTGATATTTTAAATTTGAGAAGCAATAAATAATAAATAAATAAATAAATAAATAAATAAAAAATAACTATTTTGAGATGTTACACTAGAAAAATTTTCCACATAATTACAAAAGTATCTGAGAAGTACAAAGAAAACCCTTTAAATTATCTGAATGGTAAGATTTGAGGTGAATAAAATTTCTTCTCTTATTACTTAGCTGTCTGATTATATTTCTTCAAGTGAGAAAAAGAAAGGGGGAGAGGTAAAGAAGGAGGGATAGAGAGAGGAAAGGGAGAGTCCAGAGAATGGATGCTGATAATGTTGTAGTCTTCCCTCTGTGACAAATCATTTGTTTCCTTCAATGAGAACTCAGAAAAACTAAGAGGCATCAATCATCCTATTTTTCATGTGTTATTACATTAATATTGATACTTGATACTGAAGGAATATTTGACAAGACCAAATGAAAGTAATCCTAACCTGAAAAACTTAAACATGGCATAATGGATTGTAGCTCACTTCTTTTCACTCCCAGTTTCTGGTGAATGTCATATTTTTCTATATTTCCAAAAATTCTTTAATTTCCTTCATTACATTTTTCTTCTCTCCAAGAATTGGTATTTTTCTATCATTTTTATTTAATTTTTTATACAATATGTATTGATTATGATTCTTCTCCCCCAACTCTCCCAGTCCTTCTCCTCTCCCATTTACCTTCATGTTCTTCCTCTCACTCTCAAAAAATAAAATAAAAACATAAAAAGTAAAATCAGAAAAAAAAAGTTCCCAAGTAAAACAAAATACCTCCCCCACAAAAAATCTCATGGAGCTCTTTTTATATTGGCCGACTACTCCTAGCCATAGGGCCTGCTCTAGAATGTGGTTGATAGTCTCCACATTGGAGAAGCCCTTTGTTAGCATCAACTGAAAATAGCTTCTTGGTTAGGGGTAGGACTTTATGTCCACTTCCTCCTCTCAGTTTTGGGACCCCAGGTGGTGAACCTGTGCTTTTTAAATGTGTGCTGCCAGTCTCTGTGTTCAAATGTGCATCCGTCCTGTTTGAAAGACACTGTTTCCTTAGAGTCATGTACCATCTCGGGCTCTTACAATCTTTCATCCTCTCCTTCCACATAAATCCCTGAGCCGTGAGAAGAGGGAGTTGATGAAGAAAACTCATTAAGGAATGGATACTGTAAGTCTCTCACTGTCTGCATGTCGGCCAGTTTTGGGTCTCTGTGTTAATTCCCAACTATAACAAGAAGAAGCTTCTGTGATGAGAGGTGAATGAGGCACTGCTCTATAGATATAACAGTATGTTATATGTTATTGCTATGTTCCTTTAGCAGAATAATAGTAGTAGGTTTCTCCCAGGCCCATGACCTCCCTAGTCTCAGGCTCTTAGCTGCTTTAGCAGTGACTGATATGGATTCCAACTTATGGATACAGCACTCGTTGCTGATAACACTTGTATATTCTGGACTCATCACCTCTCCCTTCCTGCCTGGGATCAATATAAGCCAGTAAACTCCTCATTGTCAAAGGAAATGCCAAGTTCATTAAGTGTCTTCATAGCAACGAAAGGTTATGGTGCAGCAAATTCTATATTTGTATCACCTATCTTTATTGTTTCTGCCTCTATTTGTGATCTACTTCTAACATATCCAGCCTCTGTGTTTGTCTAATTAATTAAATCTCAGTGGCAAGTGTGTGACATGGTCAGAACGTCAAGATCTGATTCTGATGTTTTGAATTGAAGAAATGAAAGCGAGACAGAAAATCTGTACCTTAGCCAAAGAAGTGTTGGATGGAGCCAAAGATGAGGTCTGCAGCTCTGGGGACTGGCATCTGGCTGTGGCTTCCTCAGAACAGGAAGGTTGATCTGGCCCCTCAGACTGCTTGGTCTTTTTCACGCCAGTTTTTTCTCTATTAATACTTTTTCTTTTCTGAAAGTATATCCATTGGCCTGTTAATGAGTCTCAGTATCAAGCGAACAGAATGCGTCTTCATTATTAGGTAGCAGATTTATTATGCCTGAATATGTTGGGAACTTAAGGAAATAACACTCACCTTCGGCTCAGGTCCAAAAAATGATCATAAATAGTCATAAACTGTGTGTGCATAAGTTGTTTCATTAAACAAAGAAGTAGGAAAGAGCTATATACACAGTTTTTCTAATACTACCTCTATGGTAGGACATAATTGAATTTGAATTTTCAAACTTGGTGTGTAAACATGGACTCCATTGTTCTACCTGATTTTCAAGGACACAACTCTCAAGTAGGAATGTACACTTATTAATACTGCATGATCACTTATCATGAGTTTCAATAAAACTTGAAGACAAACTAATAAAGCAATGAGTCCTTGATGGACAGAGTAGGGAAGAGCCACGGCTGACCCCTCTGTGGACTGCCAGCCGGCTGCTGTTCCTTCAAGCTCACCTGAGCTGTGGAAGTCTCCCCTCCATCAGATGCTACGGTGTTGCTGGTAGTCGATGTGGGTGTATCAGAGCCTGCTTCTTGCTTTCTTTTTCTCAGTGGGGATTTTCCTTTTACTAGAATGGGTATAATTTTTATCACAACAAATGCATGAAGAAAGAGCCCAATAAACCAAAACAGAGGACTTGGAACCATCTAGTTTTCCTGCCATTTTCTCTCCATTGCATTCATATCTTGTTTATTCTATTAGTTTACTGTGGGGGCACACCACTAAAGGCACAGCCTTAGAGACACAGTCTCCACTACTTGATGTTTTCCTTACTTGTCCCCTCTAAAATGAGAAAATCCTTCCTGTCCCTGAACCCATGTACATCAGCCAAGCTTTTCTTATTCCCATTTTCCTATCATTCTCTTAAAAATAAAAATTTTCATTATACTTACTGATTGGTTGTGTTTTGTCAATAATATACTCAAATCATAGAAATCATTGAAAGGAAATCTGATACAAACTTGTGGAAAAAGATAGGGAATTTTTGGATTTTAATTTTCTGAAATCTTTTTACTTAACTGAATAATTTTATGAAAGGCAGGAATGATTTGTGCCTTCTTTTTTTTTTTTTTTTTGGTTTTTCGAGACAGGGTTTCTCTGTGTAGCTTTGCGCCTTTCCTGGAACTCGCTTTGGAGACCAGGCTGGCCTCGAACTCACAGAGATCCGCCTGGCTCTGCCTCCCGAGTGCTGGGATTAAAGGCGTGCGCCACCACCGCCCGGCTGATTTGTGCCTTCTTAATGGCATACTTAATTACACTACTGCCTTATCTTTGTCAATAGAGGAGATAATTATGTTACTACTTTTAATGGAATAGGTAAGGCAATGGCTAATGGATTTACTTAAAATTTGAACCATAATTTTTTATAATTCTAACGTCTATGTTGTACCTGAAACTTCAATCTTCGGCTAACTTTTATTTTCACTGTAGTCTACACACCAAATAGACTCCTTCAGTTACAAGCATCCTCCACTGGAAAGGGAACATCTTTAGTAGTGAACCCAAAACACCAATATGGCTATGGCCACTGAGGTATAAATTGGGCATATGAAAAATATGTGGGGACTTCAGGTTTATGAAGGGAGCAGAGACAGTAATATCTCTGTCAGGGACAGGGGTTCTTTGTTCCACGTTACCTTTTGATTTCTCTTCTTTAAGGGTTTCAGCAAGTCTTTTAAGAGTGTGTACCTCTTCACAAAACTCAATCAGTTTGCCCAATCCAGCATCAGTTGGGAATTCATATTCCATCATGTCAGCAATCTTAATCCTGTTATATTTCCCTCTAATATTTTTCTCCAGTCTTAAATCACTGGCCATTACTGACTTAAATAAGTCAAAATAATGATCACTGATGTGCTCTAATCCTTTCAGCAAAACAATTCGCTTGTATTCATGTGCCATCTTTCAAGTTGTTAGTGAGCCTGTAAGAGAAAATTGGCATACACTGCTGTACATGTGTTCAGAAAATTCCTAAGAAAGACATGCCTATGAGAATGAATGCACTACGTGGAAATACTACATACAGGTGTGTTCACAACAAAGAGCAGCACAACAGCCATTATGTCACATGGAATATTGGGTAAGAATTGCTGTATTAGGAAAAACTTCAAACCAATCTTCCCTATTGATTATAGTTTAGTTGGGTCAAGGGTAGTTATGATGAAAAGATGTCTGGAGATATGCCTCTGTGGCAAAACTTAGGAGTATTGGCTTATGGCTTCTGTTCTCTTCCCTTTAGGTACCTGAACCTTTCCCTTGTTGTCTGCTGTCAGATCCTGACTCCTCAGACATACTATGACTATATTGGTTACTTTTCTAGTAACTGTGACAAGAATACCCAACAGAAACAACACATGGGAAGAGTGTTTATTTTGCTTTACGGTCTCACAGTGAGGAAATCTTGGTGCCTGGGACCCAGTCTGCAACCATACAGCCTGTTAAATTTCTACAAATCAGGTTGACTAAAAGTCTTTAAGCTAGAATCCATGTGTCTATAACCTTCTAGCCCTGGGCCTATGTTCCTACATTTTCCCGCTAGGCTTTATGCCCTAAAGGCTGCACAGCCTTCCAAAATAGTACAGGCAGATGGTGCCCAAGAGTGGAAGTACATGTGCCATGAAGAGTATCTCACATTCAAACCATAATAATGACTAATGTGACAAGTGAGTGGAATGTACTGCAGTCTCTCACACTATACATGAGTAACTTTGGCTACAAAATTACAGCTCTGTGTTGGGTACTCTTCCATAATACCTATAAGTAATATGATACTTTCCCTGGTGTAGGTCACAAATTTTCTAGTTCTCAGTGCCCATATTACTATCCCTTTATAGAACTTCTCCCACCTCTCTCCTGAAGAATCAAAATGTTTATTGACTGGGAGCTTTTCAACAATTATTCCATCTTCTTCCTTCAGCACTCCACATCTTTAAACTAGTAAGTTTATAGAGCCATGGATTCATGGCCAGTCTAAGATACATAATAAGCCCCAGAAGCAGGGGCATCTTTACAGTATGGAAGAAAATATTTGTAAAGGATACATTTAACAATGAATTGATATTGTAAATACACAAAACTCAAAAGAAAAACTAAAAAGACAAAGGTGACTACTCAAAACCCTACAAATAATGCAATTCAAAAATGGACTAAAGAACTAAACAATCAAAAGGGAGGTATCTTTAGCAACAAGGTCTTAGTGTGCAGTTATGGCGGGTAACTGAGGGCAAGGGCAATGACAATAGCCTGCACTATTTTAGAAACTTCTGGGGCTTCCTTGGCCAATATCTTGTGGGGAGGTAATCCACACCTTATATCTTGGTGTTCATTTAATAATTCATGACTTCCGGGAGTGCCATTTCCTACCCACACAGAGCAATTCTTTTCAAACTATTTTTATATTGTATTTTGAAAATATCTTACTAAATAGTGGATTTCCATACTCTTTCTCATATATCCTTAGTTTCGGTTAGCCTATCCATTACCCACTTCTCTCCTCTGTCCCATCCTTATTTAAGCCCTCCTTCACTTCACTTATATTCCTATCATCTCTCTAATTCTTTTCTTAGTTGGATTGTGAAACAGTATATTTCCACATAGCTCTGCATGTACCTTTCCATGACAAAGTCAAGTCTTTCATAATTCCAGCACAGACGGAGGTAGAGATCTTCTGGCCCTACCCCTTACTGTGGAGCTATTAACAGATGGTAATTGCTGAGGGAAGGAAAGTCATTATTTCTTAAAGTTGTGTCCACAGGTTAGAATTCCAAGCTCCTGTGGATGGCCCCATGCCCATTCACACACGGGCAGCAGTAATTGAATTGAACTTAGTGGATTATTGTACACACACAAAGACAGACAAAAGAAGAAATGAAGTTGGGAGGGGGGATGTGTTAGGGGAAGATATAGGAGAGTTGTAGTGAGTCAGGAAGTGGTTTTGATGCTATTTCATTGAAATGCTTAATAATAAAAAAGTTAAAAAGTAACTAAAAACACACCCCTCAAAAGAAAAAAAGTTCAATTTTTCTAATCATTGGAGCAAGTTAAATAAAAGCTATAGTGACATATAGTTTCACCCCAGTTACAATGTTTATCATTACACAGATAAGAAATAAGTCCTGGTTAGGATTCAGAGAAACAGGAACTGCAATACTTTGTTTAAAGAGACATAATTTAGTGTAACCATTACACAAAATAATATAGAAATCCCTTAAACACAAAAAGCCCAACCACTGTATTCCATTCTTCCAGTAACTGGATATATAACCAAAGGAGATGAAATTATTATACACAAAAGATAATTGCACTTTTATATTTATAGCATTAATATTTACAACAGCTGAACTACAGAATAAAAATAAATGCTTTTTGGTGGATGAGTGAATTAAGAAAATGAATAGCTGGGCACCATGATATATATATATATGTATAACCCCAGTACTGGAGAGGTAGAGACAGGATCAGAACTTCAAGGCTATATTCAAATATGAGACTGTCTCAAAAATGAAAACAAAAACAAACACAAGAACACATGGTAAATATACATTAATGGGCCGGGCATATGGCTTAGCTGGTAAAAGTTCCTACTGTGCAAGCCTTGTGGCCTGAGTTTCAATTCCTGGAACCTGTAGAAAGCCAAATGCAGCAGTGTACATCTGTAATCACAGCCCCCATATGGTGAGAGAGAAGATGGAAGTAGAAGAATTGCCTGGAAACTTGTAGGCCAGCTATTCTGGAAAACAAAGCATAGCAACAGATCAATAAGAAAGACTACCTCAAAGCAAGGGAGAAGGCAAGAAGCAACTCCCCGAGGTTGTCTTGTGATCTCCACATGTGTGCTGTGATATGTATATACCTACACTTGCATACATGCCCCCCCCACATACATACCAAGTCTTCATTAGCCATTAAAACCAATGAACTTCTGTCATTTAAGGCAACACGAATAGAACAGGAGATTGAACTTGTTAAGTGAAACATGTCAGATACAGAAGGACAAATATCACATGTTTCATTTATTCACAGAAATAAACTTTATAGAAGAATGAAGAGGAATAATGGTCATTAGAGGTGGGAAGAGCAGGGGTAGGAGAAACAGAAAGAAATTCATTAAGGGACATCAAAACAAAGAGTACAAGCCTTACCCCTCTTTCTTATTTAGCACAATAGGGCAACTATTGGACAGAATAATGTATGACACAGTTCAACACAATTAGAAAATAAAATATGAAATTCCCAATACATACAATAATTGATTGTTGAAGGCATGGAAATACTTGTTTCCCACACTACACTACTACACGTTATATATGTTCATTGATTTTATAATGGGCCATATAAAGTTGCATAAGTTAGAAAAATTGACAAATCATTTTAAAACAAAAGTGTTAAGAGGCAAGAACAGGTAGAATTCTCTGAGTTTGAAGTCAACTTGGTTTACATAGTGAGATCTAGGCCAACCAATGCCACATAGTGAAACCTTGTCTAAAACCTAAACAAAACAAAACAAAAACATAAAATTTTTTTAATGTAGCTTAGAAAAATCAATACCTTTGTATTGCTGATAAAACACCATTTTATGGTTTGAAAACTATTGGAAAAATTTGATGCTGAAAGAGTAATTCAAAGAAATCAAAAATCTCTGTTAATAAGGTGATAGACCTGCCAAGAAGTTATCATAAAACTGAAGGCTTACTACTTAACAAAGTAAGACTTCAACTCAACAAAAATGAAACCATTTTAATTATATAATTACCAAGCAAAAAATTCATTTTATAACTACATTGTTCCCATGACATTAAATAGTAATATGTAGTAAAGTACAAAGGTAATCATAGACATGTAAGTGGGGCATTGTGGTGAAGGCCTAAGATTCAAGCCCTCCAGAGCACTGGGGAAGGACTATACATTTGAGGTGGGCCTCAGCTATGTGCCATGTTTCAGGCAAACCTGGCTTGGATAGTAATATTATTTTTTCAAACAACAAAAATAATAACAAATAATATTATAAATTTAAACAACTATGAAATTGACTAATGATGACTATAGTTTGAAATTTCTGTGTGTGTCAATTACTGAAAAGTAAGTAAAAAGAGTATAAAAAGTAAAAACACCATTAAAAAAACTTTAGGAAAAAAAAAAGAGTGTCAATGAACAAGTTCACATAAAAATTTTCAAGTAACATTTAAGAAATTTTCAAGCCGACATTAAAATCTCCACATTCCCCTCAACAGAAGAAATATTTCTGTACAGATTCTGTAATGAGCTAATGCATCCCAAATGGTAAATACAGATGTGACTCATTTTAACATCTCTTTCCTAAGACTTTGTCCCATTACAGTTCCCCTCCAACATGGAATGAAGACGAGGGAATATGACAAATATTGTCTCTAATGTCTGATATAGAAGAGAGCTAAAAGGAGATTTAAACATATAAAAATGCTAAAATACTCTATATTTGACTAACTGTATTCACAAAACGGGGACATTTTGTCCTAGAGGCTAGTTAGAGTTCTCAAATTTTGTAAAAAGTGGATACTATATAGTACAATTTTATGTTGAATTGTTGCTTTCTTTTAATATTACTCCACTTATCTTTTTTTCATGTTGCTATGTCTTTTACCCAGTCATTCCCCACAGTCACCATGTTCTCATGCCTTCTCCAGTGATGACAACAGAGTCCAATTTTAAGTAACTCACCAAAAGTCATATTTAGAAATTTATTTCACCTTCAATAGTCAAAATGTTTTTGTTTAAGCTCATTTCGCTGTGGTGGAGGAATAAAGATGCCATGTAACACGAATTTTAAAAAGACCTCATTAATGAAAAAAAAGGAGCCAGATAATGGGGTGAAAGCTGAAAGATCAGAGAAATAGAAAAAGCGACAGCCAACCTCACCTCGCCGACTCCTCAGCCAATACTGTGTCCACGAATCCTCAGACTGAAAGCCTCTGAGTCCTCACCCCTGAGGGTCTCAGTTGAACTGCTGCTTAGTTCCTGTCTCCTCACAACTTATATACC